CGGGGCGATCGACCGGGGGGCGAGCTTGACGTTTGTGTCTCAGTATCCGGGGGAGGGGGAGATGCTGTATCCGCCGCTGTCGTACCTGGAGGTGGTGAAGACGCCGCGGTACATGGAGGTAGAGGGGAGGCGTGTGAAGGTGCTGGAGCTGAAGATCAACGCGAACACGATGAGCTTGTCGATCGAGGACTTTGTGGGGAAGAGGAAGCAGCTGTACGTAGGGCTGATGGAGAACCTGGCGAGGGAGGTAGAGCGAGACGTGAGGGGGTGGGAGGGGAGGATCCAGGAGCGGCTCAGGACAGCACCGGCCGACTCTTTATGGAAGCACCATCAGCGTCTTGTACAATCGATCGTGGAGGAGAGCTGGGGGCTGGTGGAGGCGAGCAGGGCGAGGGAGTCGGGCTGGTACAACGACGAGTCAAGATACAAGGAGGCGATCGAGCTGTCGAACCGAGTCAAGGACATGGCGATCAACAAGCTCAGGCACTGGATCGAAGACACTCAGGGAGATGAAAAATGTGTAGCCCTTGCGGGCGAGCCGATGCAGTCAGTGTACTGGAAGACGATGGCGGGTCTGATGTACGAGATCAGCTCGCGGACTCCAGCAGACGATGACGGCAGACGAGAGCAGAGCAAGAGGCTGTGCGGGATGTACGGCTTGTCGATGTCAAGGTCGGACCAGCACGGGGAGCCGCCGACAGTGACGGCGGTGGTACGAGGACAGGGGGAGCTGATCCGGCTGCTGAAGGCGGGCGAATACGACATGGACGAGCGGACGGAGGACGGGAGGACAGGGCTGCATGTAGCGGGGATGCTGGGGAGGGCGGGGAGCTTGAGGGAGCTTATCGAGGCAGGAGCAGAGGTAGGAGCGAAGGACAAGGCAGGGAAGACGATGGTGCACTGGGCGGCGGAGTATGGGCATGTGAAGGTGCTGAAGACGGTAGAGGAAGAATGCGGGAAAGAGACTCTGAGGACTTTGATGATGGAGAAGGACAATGACGGCAAGACATGCGCGCACTATGCGAGTGAGGGAGGGCACTTGGAGGTAGTGCGGTATGCTGCAGAGACATGCGGGGAGGAGGTGCTGAGGGAGAAGGACAACGCCGGCTGGACATGCGCGCACTATGCGAGCGAGGGAGGGCACTTGGAGGTAGTGCGGTATGCTGTAGAGACATGCGGGGAGGAGGCGCTGAGGGAGAAGGACAATGCCGGCTGGACATGCGCGCACTATGCGAGTGAGGGAGGGCACTTGGAGGTAGTGCGGTATGCTGTAGAGACATGCGGGGAGGAGGCGCTGAGGGAGAAGGACCAGTACGGCATGACATGCGCGCACTTGGCGAGTGCAGAAGGGCACATGGAGGTAGTGCGGTATGCTGTAGAGACATGCGGGGAGGAGGTACTGAGGGAGAAGGCCAATGACGGCATGACATGCGCGCACTGGGCGAGTGACGCTGGGCACTTGGAGGTGCTGCGGTATATTGCAGAGACATGCGGGGAGGAGGCGCTGAGGGAGAAGGACAAAGGCGGCATGACTTGCTTCACTTTGGCTGATAACTCAGATGTCGAGGATTATCTTAGAGGTTTAGGTATCGACTAGTCTCAGACTGAGCCAACAAGCTGCAGCCATAGAAATCGCTCTCATACCTATCAGAGCCCTAGTAAAAGCGAGCTCACCTCAGACTGGACCTACTCATTCTTAGCTGACGACTGAAGGGATTGAAATCGCTC